GAGGAAGCACTATCAGGTGTGAGGAGATGGACGGGGCAGGATCTGCCAGACCAGGACTCCCACCTTCTCCCCTTCTTCAAAGGTGTGTGTTCTGTTCCAGGTGTAGTACCTGGATGGGTCTGGTTTGCAGCAGGACATCAGCATCCCAGTGGAGAATGAGTCATTCCTCCTCATACAGGGATGCAAAGTAACTCACCCGTCTTGGTGGGACGTCCCTTTACAAATCCCATTGCAAACTCCCCTCCCAGGTGTGATGGGGCTTGGTGTTCTCGGCAGCATAGCACGGAGATCCACAGTGAGAGGGAAATGGCTGTCTCCTGCAATTTCCATACCTTACTGTGGGTACTGTGTGTCTAAGCAAGGGTCTCCCATCTGGCCTGTGGGGCAGCAGGCCCTCCTGGTTGATCACTCAAATGTCTTAAAGCCTGGGATAGTACTTTAGTCCATCTGGCCAAGGTGGTTTTTACCTGTTAGTAATTCAATCTGCTGCTTTAATGTTTCATTCTTCCTTTCTACCGACTCTGCTGGTTGTAGCTTGTAGGAGAGACAGAACCTCCTTCAGTGTCATGTTCCTTCACCCAATCTTATGTTGACTGAAAGAAAAAGGCACAACATAAGAGTTGTTAGTTTCAGTTTTATTCGGAAAACTTAGTGAGGACTATAGCCTAGGAAACAGCCTCTTGGTAGCCCAGAGGGGACTGCTCCCCAAGACACAGGGGAAGAAGCCAGTATATATGTGATTTTGGCTGGGGAAATGGTGCAGTGAAGTATACATCTCAGTAAAAGGTTAGTGCTGGTCATGAGGAACAGATATATTAGTTAATGATGTTAGTGCTTTTTCTATGTATGCAAAGATGCAAGAATCTGGGTTCTCTAAAAATCTTCCTGAGATATATCTATCTAAGGGGCCCGTTTTTCCAAAGCATATATGTTCTCATCCTGTTTTTCGTCCTGAATTCCTTTCAGGGTGCACCGTCAGTCAGCGACTGCAGTGGCTAATGACTTGATCCTTGTAGAGCTGGATGGTGGGCAACATTCTTTGTTCTACACTTGCATATCATGACCTTTAAAATGTGACGGCCCAGTCACTGTCTATTGGACAAGGGTATCCATAAATGGTACTCAGCTTCTCTAATGCCCTTACGGTGGCAGCCTGCTTTGCATGGCAACAGGGGAAAGCTTGAGTGAAGTCAGACCTGGTGGCCTCCTGGCACAGGAACAGTGGGCAGAACATACATTCCATGGACAGGGGAGGAGATTAGGAGCCTCTGATTGCCTGGGTCCAGTTTGAAGGACAACTGGCAGTCACATCCTCTTGATGGCCTCCTCCAAAAGGTGGGCTCCACCTCCCACCAAGATTTGTAAGTTGGAGGATTCCACAAACGTAGGGGACTTGGATGCTAAACACTTTAAACTTTAGATGAATTACACAAGTCCACAATTACCCATTTTCATGATATACGATACTATCTATATGCTGTCAACTCCTATTAAGCTAAGACTTCTCCTTGGAATTCTAATCTCACATACTCAGCTGCCTGTTTGGCATTTCACCTGGCATCTCAGAAACACACAAGCATTTCAAATATAACAGGCCCCAACTGAACTTGATACACACTCCCCCACTGCTCCCGTGTACCCCCATCCATCCAGTTGCTTAAGTAAGAAATCTAGGCGTCATTCTTGATTCCTCCCTCCCCTTCATCCTCATATGCAGACATGCAGAAAGTTCTGCAGAATCGACCTGCAAAACATGCCTTTAATCCATGTGTTCCAGGAATGCTCGTCAGATTTCCCTTTTAGAACCTGAAGCCCTTAACAGCCTTCACCTGATGTCATCCTCTCTCTCGAGAAACAAAGGGTATCAGAACATCACGGCTGCTTTATTGCACCAAGCACATCATGTCAGGATTTTTATACCTTTCTTAGAAAATAATTTTCAGTTGTTGTGACACATGTAGTGCTTAAAAACGGGCCCATGAACAACCCCTTCAAAACTGTGTTTACTTGGTATTTAATATTGCAAAAGAACAATGGGGCCTGCCCGTGAAACCTGCCTCAAATGAAGAACATTTAGCCTGGCACCTGTGTTTGTCCCAGGAGCAACTTGAAAAATCCCCTTCCCTTACCCTGCTCCCATTTTGAGATAACCAGCTGCAGCAAAACCCTGTGCGTCCACCTCCGCTCCCCACAATCCCTCAGAAACAAGGATGGGATCTGGATCCACTGAGATACATGAAAGGAGAAGATCTCCTAAGAGGACTGAAATTAATGTGATAGCCAAACACTGGGTTACGTTGTTTCAGGCGAAGATGTCTGAAGGTCTCTGAGTCCTGAAACCCCTGTTATGGGTTGAATTGTGCAAACCGCAGCCCCCCCCACCCCCCCCCCCAAGAAATTCACACGTTGAAATCCCAGCCCCTGGTACCTCAGAATGTAACCATATTTGGAAATAAGGTCTTCAAAGAAATAAGTTAAAATGATGTCTTTAGGGTGGCCCTAATGCAATATGACTGGTGTCCTTATAAGAAATGGACATCTGGACACAGATACGCACACAGAGGAAAGACTATGTGAGGGCATAGCAAGAAGGTGCCACCTGTAAGCCAAGGAGACAGGCCTCAGAAGAAATCAAACCTGGGAATTCCCTGTCGGTCCAGTGGTTAGGACTTGGTGCTTTCACTGTTGGGGCCCAGGTTCAATTCCTGGTCAGGGAGCTAGGATCCCACAAGCTGCCAGGTGTGGCCAAATTAAAAAATAATTTTTTAAAAAAAGAAGATGACTTTATTTTTTCTTAAATTCCATATATATGTGTTAGCATACGGTATTTATCTTTCTCTTTCTGACTTACTTCACTCTGTATGACAGACTCTAGGTCCATCCACCTCATTACAAATAGCTCAATTTCATTTCTTTTTATGGCTGAGTAATATTCCATTGTATATATGTGCCACATCTTCTTTGTCCATTCATCTGATGATGGACACTTGGGTTGTTTCCATCTCTGGGCTATTATAAATAGAGCTGCAAGAACCTAGGGGTAAGACAGGAATAAAGACACAGACCTACTAGAGACTGGACTTGAGGATATGATGAGGGGGAAGGGTAAGCTGTGACAAAGCGAGAGAGAGGCATGGACATACATACACTACCAAATGTAAGGTAGATAGCTAGTGGGAAGCAGCCACATAGCACTGGGAGATCAGCTCGGTGCTTTGTGACCGCCTGGAGGGGTGGGATAAGGAGGGTGGGAGGGAGGGAGACGCAAGAGGGAAGAGATATGGGAACATATGTATATGTATAACTGACTCACTTTGTTATAAAGCAGAAACTAACACACCATTGTAAAGCAATTATACTCCAATAAAGATGTAAAAAAAAAAAAAAAAGAAGAAACCAAACCTGCTGTCACCTTGATCTTGGACTGAATAAATGACTGTTGTTGTTTTAAGCTACCAAGTTTTGGAGTGGTTTGTTATGTAGCAATAGATAACCGGTGAATCCGGATTACTCTCCTCCCTGCTCCACTTCTCATTCCTCAGGGTTCAGCTTCAATGTCAGGTCCCTGATCACTCTAGCTAGGGAGCCCGTATTGTCTAACTGCCTGGACTTTTCTTTCATACTTTTCTCATTTTGTAAGCATTTACTGATTTCTTTCCCTAGTTTTAAAAAACTCAAGTCTTGACCTATTAATGGGTCATAAAGTCAATTTTTAAAAGAAATAAAATTGAATATAAAATATCAGATAAGTAAGTAGTAAAGGATAAGCATCGTATTGTGAAACTTGTTAGGTATAGGCAACATATGTGTGTGCTGGTGCACAATATAAAATACATTTTGTACTCCAGTTTTTAAAAAGTTTGAAACCACTGCTCTAAACTGTCAGTTCTTAAGCTCAGTGAGCATGTCGCTTTCACTCACCATGAACATCCAACAACTAGCAAAGTCCTTGGCACAGAGTAGGCACTCAATAAACATGTAGGAACTACTGTAGAAATAAGAGGAGTATGTGAGTGAACTGTAGAGACAGGAAATGGTTGGCAGTGGTGGTACCCTTTGAAGAAGTCTGACAATGAAGTGATGGAGATAAACAGAGTAAAGCCTTGAGCAGGAGTCTTCGGGAAAGGGGAGACATGAGCGTGTCTATTCACTAAGGCTAAAGATCCAGTAAAAGTCGAGAGAGAGTTAGGCAAGATAAAGGAGATAAATAACTGATAGTACAATACAAAGCACAAACAGGCTGGAGAGGAAAAAGCCACCAGCCAATTCTCGAGCCAATTCTTTGAGATTGAATGAAATGAGAAAAGTTGAAGTAGAGAACACGGGGGCGCTGAAGGAGCTCATTTCTGAAAGCCTCCACTCTCAAATTGTAAATCAAGGTTTGTGACCAGATTAAGAGTAATGGAATTCTGAGCTTAGGAAGAGTGGGAACATTTACGAATAAGGCCTCTGAAGAATGAGGGGGAGTCAACGGGTGAGTCGAATCTGGTACCAACAGAACAAAGAAATACAAGTTGAAAACTATGTGAATTTTCTTCTAGCATTGCCTGCCATCTGGGTATAAGAGTGGAAATCAATTGTTGGAAAAAAAAAAAAAGGGTAGCTATGATAGGTCAAGAGAAACAAATGAGAATGCTGGTAAGAAATGGAATTGAAGCAAGAGACTGAGGAAAAGTTATTGGCTTAGAAAAGTGCAATAAGCTTGATTTAATGGGAGAGGACGGAAGGATAAGGAAACAATGAAACGGGAGAATTTTAGAGTTTAAGGTATCAGAGGTGGCAAGAAGCTGGGGTTATATTCCCTAGAGGTAAGAAAGAGAACGAACTCTGAGGTCAGAGTGTCCCATATGGTATACAACCCCAAGATGGTAACAGAGGAAGGAGGTGAAATACAAATGCAGCCAGGTATTAAAATCAATAAAGACAGAGAGAATCTTAGACATCAATGGAAAATATGGACTAGGATAGGTGATAGACAATTTCAAATAGGGAGAAGTTACTGAAGGAGACTAGATCTTTTTTATTTTAAGAGACAGACAATGTACTGTAAACATTTTTAATTCTGTCATTGAAACTGTCAATATTAAGAAATTTACTTGGAATCACATTATTCCCTTAATTTTTTCACAGAGCATATTCCATTTACTGTGTAGTTCATCATCTTCTGGACATGTTCTATGTAATATACTTGTAAGCATAGTCGTTTCAATTGGGCAAAATTTACTACCAATAAAACCTGAATTTAACTTGTCACGTATTTCCAGCGGCAACCAATGGTCAGGTGCTTCAATATTACAGATTTCAATTCTTCCATTCTTTATGTCTATGAATACTTTAATTTCCAAGTGTGAATGTTCATATAACACACTGAAGGAAGTGTTTACACTGAACTTTGGAGTTTTGCCATATATCCACTCCCAGGTCTGTAGTTCTTTGGCTCTGCTGTTTATTCCAGGAAACAGCGTCTCGTCTGTTGGGTTTATTAGGTGAATGTGATTATCGATTTGATGAGATGTAGCATACTCTGTGGCAATAGCATTTATCACTACTTCGCAGGTCAGGGTGGGATCTTTTTCCATAAGATTTTTTACTAAGGCAGGTGTGCTCGCAGTGGCAGTACTCCTGACCCCTTGGTAAGGGCTCTTCAACAAAGATGACAAGAAGGTCCCATCGGTACTGCATAGCAAAGTGCAGTGGTGATAAGCAGCGGTCTGGCCAATCCTGGAAGCTGTTCCTGAGATTTTAAACTGTCCATCAAGTAAAAGGTCAAACCTTTTGGTAGCCCGCACATCCAGCTGCGGCTGGACAGCCTTCAGAGCTTTAACAACTAATTTTAGATTTTCCATCCTATCGTACTTTTTTTTGGTTGTAAAAAAAGTCAAGTTGATGTTACCCATATCATGGTAGACTGTTCCTCCTCCACTTCTCCTCCGAGCTAGTTTTACACCTCCTTCTCTCATCAGATTCAGGTTACATTCCTGCCAAGGGTTCTGATGCCGACCAATTACAACAGAGGGAGAATTCCTCCAAAAGAAAAGAACCGGCTTGGCTTCTAGATTCATATGGTCATGGATCCAGTCTTCTACAGCCAGGTTTTGGTAAACATCATTGGAAACTGACTGTAAAATGAGCCCACTTTTAACTGTGTCTTTAAAACCAGCTGCTGGGACCTTGAGGTTACAAAGTAACTGGAAGCAATTCTTCATTGAAAATGGGATCAGCATGCTTTTAAAAATGGAAGACAAACAAATTAATGATGGAGAAAAAGAAAATTAAATTCTAGTTTGTAGCTATCAGTTCTCGGTTATTTAATCCAAACTTATTTAAGTATCCGGTCTGGTTGCTTTTCTTGCCTTTTAGCCTTATCATTAGTCTTTAGCAAAAATTGTACAACAGAGTACTCAAAGGAAATAAATGATACAAACCTCAAATTGTTTTAGTTGAAATGGAATAAGGGCACAGATTTTTCCAATAATAAAGCTGAAAATACATTATGTAATATATCTCAGAGACAAACAAATTATTTTGAATTCACAGGTAATACACATTATTTGAGAAAAATGAGAAAATACAGACAAGCAAAAAGAGCAAAATAAAAGAAACCATAACATGACCACCCGGAGATAATCCCAATTAACACTTTAGTGTGTACCCATTTTTTTATGTGCATGTGTAAAATACACACACACACTTTTCCCCACCAAAAGTGGAATGATACTCTTATTTCATTCAATGTTAAACCTATTTTTACATCGGTTTTAATGTCGTGTTACATTCCATTGTCAAGATACACCACCGTTTACTCAACCAGTCTCTTAGTTTGTAAGTTTAGACTGTCTCTAGTTTTTCTATGTTATCAACAATGTACTCATGAACATCTGTCTGGAAAGCTTTAATTATGTCCTTGTAGTACTTTAAAAATAATTCCTATTTAATTTTGAGATACATGTTTACTGGCAGCCTGTTTTATTTAGATCAATATTAAATTAGGATGGACCCCCTGAAGTCAGGGGAGAGGTGGTCAGAGTAGCAAGGTTAAATAGAAAGGCTAGGAACAATTTTATTATGTTTTGACACTTTACACATTATTTGTGTTAGCAGTGCTGATGAAAAGGCTGATAATACTAGCTGTAATAATGAAGTATTTTGACTAGTTATGGTTGTAAAGAAACCATTCTATTCCGATTTCGTTTCTTAGAATGGTCATAGTTTTCCTTTAGGTTAAAGACCTGGGAAGGACTGGGTTATTAAAGCCCAGAACTAGGCCCCATTCTCTTGTAGTTACATCCTAGATGCACAATTCCTAGGGTAACAAGTCTTCGTATTTTCATCACTCTTGATATATCTTGATAAGTTATGCTACAGAAAAGCTGAACCAATTTACACTCTTTCTATCTAGAAAGGTCAGGAGAGGTGTAACAGAGGAAGGGATACTTGAACTGAGTCTCGAAATCTGATGGTTTTTACCACGTTGATGGGAGTAGCATGTTCCAGGCAAATGCAAAGACAGAGAGTCCTCCAACAGTAAGGCATGTCTTGGGGAATCCCTCCTCAAAGGAGTTCCACTACCAGTCTTCCAGCTCCACTGAAACCTTTGGCTGTGCTGTCCTAGGAAGCCTCTGCAGCCAGATGCCGTTTCTTTGGTTAAACTCTTTGTTCTTGGTTCTGTTTGACCAAATTTGATATCAGTCCCTCCTTCACTAAACAAATGTTTATGGAGTGCCTACTAGGCACAAGGTAGAATAAAGAAGGGGAGGAGACAAATTCATGTAATTCTAAAGCATTTGGCCTTTTTCTAAAAGCAGCTGGATCTAGTGAGGTGTTTTAAGTAGGAAAGTGTTAAGTCAGCCATTATACAAAACTGCTTCTGCTGGCAGTGTTGAGCATGGATTAAAAACAGATAGACTAGGGGCAGGGAGACGGTTTAACCGACCCATGCAGTTGTCCCAGTTAGAGATAATGAGGGCCTGAACGAGGGTAGCAGACACTGAGAAGGGATGGACATGAGGACATTAAGGTCACAGACTGGTCCTTGCCTTCAAGGAACTCACTATCTAGTGGGAGACACTAAAAAGCAAGGAAGGTGATAATTAAAATACAGTGTCAGGGCTTCCCTGGTGGCGCAGTGGTTGGGAGTCCACCTGCCGATGCAGGGGACATGGGTTCGTGCCCCGGTCCGGGAAGATCCCACATTCCACAGAGCGGCTGGGCCCATGAGCCATGGCCGCTGAGCCTGTGCGTCCGGAGCCTGTGCTCTGCAACAGGAGAGGCCACAACAGTGAGAGGCCCACGTACCACAAAAAAAAAAAATATGGTGTCATAAGTGCTATGACAGGGTAAGTACATTAGAAGGCCATTTAACCCTCTCATCATTGGAAGTGACATTGAAGTTGAGACATAGAAGGGGTAAGGAAAAGTATTCCAACAAAGTACAGTAGCTTGGAGGAGAAGAAGACCCATTCAAAGAATTCGAAGAATTTAATTCAATTGGCTGGTATTTAAGAGTGCAGGAATGGGAAGCTGCAAGAGATAAGGAGGCAGAAGTAGAGATCAGATTATGAAGAGACTTAAAATCCAGTTAGGGACTTCCCTGGCGGTCCAGTGGTTAGGACTCTGTGCTTTCACTGCAGGGGGCACGGGTTTGATCCCTGGTCCGGGAACTAAGATCCCACAAGCCTCGGAACTAAATTAAAAAAAAAATCCATGTTAAATACTTGAACTTCACCCTGAGAGTGATGAGGAGGTGCTGAAGAGTTTTACAGATTTACACTTCAGAGACATCGCCTAGAGATTTAAGCAGGGAGAATCTTGATATCTGGTAATTGGTTCAGTGAGGGTGAGAGAAAGAAGTCAAGGGTCCTTTATGGTATGATTACAAGCCAGCATTCAAATCCCAACTCTTTCTCTTCCCAGCTAAGGCAGATTAGTTGACTTTTCTGTGCCGCAGATCCCTTATCTGTAATATGTGGGTAACTGACAGGACTCATATCAGGATTAAATGAACTAATACATGTAAAGTGCTTATAAGAGTGCCCGGCACATAGAAAGTACACAGGATGTTAGCTCTTTTATTAATTTTATGCATACCCTGACTTCTGGCCTGGGAAATGGGTGGAAAGAGGTGACATTTCCTAGGACAGATTTCATAGGAAGAGGAGATACAGGGTGAAGATAACTGGTCCGTTTTGACTGCATTGGACTTAAGAGTCTTTGGCTACCAGCAGCCAATGGCACAGAGCTGAAGAGATGGTAACTAAGGGCTCCAGAATTGATCCAACTAATGTATTAATAGTGCTCAAAATATCTGTATTTATCCAGGCATTGTGGATACGGTGTGAGTGAAACACAGTAAAGATATTAATTCAAGAGATCTTGCATCTACTACGCAACAGGGATTGTTCTTGGCACTTGGGATTCATCAGTGAACCAAATCAAGGAAGGTGATGAGGACCATATGAAAAAGGAAAGGGAACATAGGAAATGTGTATGTGAGAGGAACTGGGCGGCTATTTAATTTAATTTATTATTTATTTATTTATTCATTCATTTATTTTGGCCACGAGGCATGCGGGATCTTTGTTCCCCTACAAGGGATCGAACCCATGCCCCCTGCAGTGGAAGCACCAAGCCTTAACCACTGAACTGCCAGGGAAGTCCCCAGCCTGCAATTTTACATAGGGTTGTCAGGCTAGGCTTCATCAAAAAAGTGACCAAAAAAGCAGACTAAGTCAGAAAGAGAAAAACAAATATCGTATATTAACGTATATATGTGGAATCTAGAAAAATGGTACAGATGACCTTATTTGCAAAGCAGAAATAGCAACAGAGATGTAGAGAACAAACGTATGGACACCAAGGGGGAGAGAGGGGGGTGGGACAGATTGGGACTGACATATATACACTACTATGTATAAAACAGATAACTAATGAGAACCAACTGTATAGCACAGGGAACTCTACTCAATGCTCTTTGGTGACCTAAGTGGGAAGGAAATCCAAAAAAGAGGGGATATATGTATACGTATAGCTGATTCACTTTTCTGTACAGCATAGACTAACACAACATTGTAAAGCAACTATACTCCAATTAAAAAAAAAAAAGAAAAGCAGACTGAAAGTCGAGGGAGTTAGGCTAAGCGCCTACTCTGTGCCAGAAACTGTTCTAGACACCTGAACACACAAACAAATAGGACCCTGTGAGGATGTAACATTTCCTACTGAGCCTCGTAGGACAAGAAAGAATCACACAAAGAGTGAGAAAAAGTGGGAACCCAGGGATGTCTGAGAAAACCTGAATGCCAATTTATTAATTTACAAAGAGAACTATAGGCTATCAACCGGATATTCAGATCGGCCTGTCCAACTACTCTCTCATCATAAGTTTGCTTGGTGAATACTGAATCTGGACAAAAGGATGGAGTTATATGACTTCAATGTCTGGTGGAATGAGCCTTGAGGAAAGCGCCTCTAAGCTCCTGGGCTCTGGAGAGACCCCACTGTTAACGCCAGGACACCCTGTCTCTCCCAGAGGAGGCCTGGAGTCATCCGGTCAGGCGCACCTCTCTTTCACTCCATGCTTCAAAAACAGATCAGACCGCCAGCTGCATGATGTACAGTCTTCTTTTTAGTTGTCATGATACTGTCAAGTTCTGAAGGCCTGATAAAATTTTGTCTCTTTAACTTTGCATATCTCTACTCTTACCTTTTAATTATTAATTTTTTATCGTTTTTTAATCAGAGGACAATCATATTTCCATGTTCTGGGAGGGACACTTAGCTACCACCACTTTGAATTTACCAAACCTGCTTCTCCATCATCGAACAGAAAGCAAAAGATAACAGGATCCCACCTACCCTCCTAGGCAGGCCCAGCTCCTTCAAAAAATCCTCCCCAAGTTTTATCTTGCCATCTTGCCACCTGTCTTAGTACATAACTTATCCAGTCTCAGGACAGCCGTGTGCCTGTTTGAATTCGCCTTTTTGGTTCTCGGTGGGCGCGCACAGGGCTGGCACCCAACATGTCTAATTTTTTGACCCTCCCGTGTTGCGGATAATCCGTTCCTAACCGTGGAGCTAGGTCTTCCCAAGCTCTGACCGGACACTTCAGGGCCTGCAGCGCCAGCCGTGCGCACCGCCCCAGGGTCTCAGGTCCCCGCCAGCTGCCTGTCCTCGGGGGCCCACGCTGCCTGCCCCGCCCCGCCTTGCCACGCCTCCGGTTTCACGCACCTGAGGCTTCCGGTCGCGGCCAGGCAGCGCGCGGGCCCGTGAGGGAAGGACGCGTGCGACCCGCAGTCCCGTCCTGCTGCGCACGCAGCCGTCCCGCCCGCCGCCCCGGCCCGCGGGGGGCGGGGCACCGGAAGCGCTGCGTAGGGGCGGGGCCGGGGGGGGTTCCGGAGGGTCTTTACGACCGGCCGAGCTGGCGCCGAACCAGAGGAGAGGCAGGGACGCCGCCCACGTTCGAATAATAGTATCAATAATATCGAAAGTCCTAGAGCCCCAGGGCAGATGGAGGTTCCCCGCGTGACAGCCCAGAGCGTTAGCGGGGAACAGGTAGGAGCGGTGTTGAGTCACTCTGGAGGGGAGCCCGCCTGGTACCCAGAGCAGTCGGGTCGGATGTTCTTTACTGAACATCCAGGCATTGCGCGGGGCTTTGCACGTCTCATAGTCCAAAGGGCAGGCAACTCCACTTGGAAGGGGACGAAACTAAAATCGGTTATAAAAGATAAATGGCATTTAAAGGAATAAACGCTGGTATTCCCAATACAGAGACAGGTAGGAAGGAGTGGGTCGGAGAACAAACACACTGAGGGCAATGAACGTTACCACTTGGGGTGTCCCTCGGTGCAGCTGGCAAGAAAATCCTTGTGGCTTAGCCAGATGGGAAATTCCCCCGTCAGGCCAAGTTCCAAGTAACTATAGCTGCGTAACAAACTGCCTCAAACGCCAGTGGCTTAACACAACGATTTATTCTAACATTTATATGGTCAAGGCTTGCTCACTTGGCTTCCTTCATTCAGCACAGGTTGGCTGAGCGGGGAGGTCCAGGACGGCCTTATTCACGCCTTTGGCGGCTGGTGCTGGCTGGCTGATGGGGCACCTCCGTTCAGGGCTAGCCTTGGAAGGAGCACGTTGGCCACATTCTGTTGACCAAAGCACCAGCAAAGGCAGCCCAGAGTCAAGGGGTGGAGAAATGGACGCCACCTCTTGATGAGAGGAGCCCAAAGAATTTGTGGTCATCTGTTTTAGGCTTCCACAGAAATCAATCTCTCTTTTGGCTTAGAATAGAAACCATCAAGACTTGCATCTTGGAGTAAGAAGCATCCAGTGTTCACAGTTTGGTGATGCCGATACAATGACCAGGGCTCCATATAAAGCTACAATAAAGACACAGTGGCTCCTTATTTATTTACTATTACCCTCTTGAAGTCACTCTAATGAGTCTTTCTTGGATTATGCAGGTGGGAATGGATTCTGTGTAGTTAGTCCCAGTAGTTTTCCAAGTTATCATTAAAAAGAGCCATGCAATTCTCTTGCCCTTTGCTTATAGTACATCTTTCTAAATTCCATTTCTCTGGAATCTGAGGTGGTACAATTTTTCCCCCCCTAATTTCTTACTGAAGTGTTTTTCAAGGATGGATCCGTCCTCCCTGCTCCTAGACTTCCACCCTGTGGTTATCTTAACCCCTCTCCTACTTCTTCAGCTTCTCCACTGGATCCTTCTTCCGCTGACACTCAAACACGACCTCCATCTCATCTTCCATCTCTCATGCTGTCTACTCCTCTTCAGAGTTGAGCTTCTTTGTGGAGTTGCTACACATCCAGTATCCACTTCCTCACTTCCCATTCGTTTTTTAACCTACTCCAACATGGATTCTGTCCTGGTGTTCCATCAAAAGTGCTTTTTGCAGGGTGAGCAAAATGGGTGAAGATGATCAAAATGTACAAACTTCCAGTTATAAGATAAGTAAGTCCTGGAGATGTAAATGTACAGCATGGTGACTATAAAAATACCATACTGTATACTTGAAAGTTGCTAAGTGAATATATCTTAAAAGTTCTCATCACAAGGAAAAAAAAAAAAACTATGTGTTGATAGATGTTAACTTCTTACAGTGATCACTTTGCAATATATACGAAATCATTATGTTGCACACCTGGAACTAATATAATGGCATATGTCAATTATACATCCATTTTTAAAATTTATTTTAAAAATAATAAAATTCTTTAAATCATTAAAAAACTATTCAGGGATGATGGAGAATTAGGTCAGCTACTTACTCTCAAATGGTTGGGAGGAGAGGGAAAGGCCTTTGTACCATGCTTGCAACTTTGCTGTAAATTTGAGATTGTTTCAAAATAAAAGGAAAATAATATATGTTAGGTGTCTGGCATTGTAATAAAGACTGTGAGCACCCCACCCAGGTCCCCTTTACCCTTAATTCATCATCCATTCTCCAGCTGGTGTGAATGAAGGAGCTAGCAGGCACAGGCACACCAGAGTGATTCACCCTGCATCCCTACCCACCAGCCTCCCCACTTTGGCTTGGAGGTGGCAACCGATGCCTGACTGGCCTAGTGCTGCAATAGTCCCACCCCTTGCCTCAAAGTGGGACAGTGGGACAACTCTGCAGTATGATCCCTCCAGAGCACCCTGTGAGTCAGGCCATGAATTTATCTGAGTGCTCATTCTTCGTTGATTCCTTCTGCTTCCCTGACTCCCTCACAGGCTTACCTTAAAGAGCACACTCTCAAAAATCATGTGCATCTGGGTCCTTGTCTCAAGTAGCTCCTAGGGAATCTCAACTAAGCCAGTTACACAACAGCTCAGTAAATGATAACTATTATTACTGGCATCAATGACAACACCATTAGATGCAATACCAATGCATGTATTATAGGTCTTATAGGTATGTTGAATCTAAGGTCTCCTAACATCCTTATTTCTCCTGAACTATATTATTTTTATATGGAAAGTTTCTCATCAGAAACAACGGTAGAACTCTGAAAAATGTTCACTTTAGGATTCTTCTTGTAGAATTCTTCCATAAAACAAATAAACACCTAAGTGAGGCTGTTGTTCTGATTAAACTTATTCCATTCTACCCCTTCCAGGAAGTATTTGTGGATTTCCATTCCCAGGTGTGCTGCTAAAACTATGGCTTCACTTGGATTTTGGGATTCCAATTCTCTGATGTCTTAGCAGCAATAGTTCTCAATCAGAGTAATTAATGCTTGCATTTGTTATCATCTCAATGACTGGATTGTGCTACAACATTTGACATCCTGCAATGCCTGGGGCATCACATACAATGAAGGACATCCCAAATTCAGTGTCCAACACACTATCAAATGTCCTGTTGGACATTCATGGAGGTGAAAAACCAGTCTGTAAATATTTGAGCCAAGTCCCTATTAAAGAAAAAAGTGGTTTTGCTAAGGTCACTAGTGCCATTCATGTTGCTAGATCCAGTGGACCTTTCAAGTCCTCATCTACCATTTCAGTTGACTGCCTCCACCTTAAAGACTTCTGTGGGCAATCTTGACATTATCCTGTCTTGGTTTTCCACCAACTCTGCCAACTCTTCAGTCCCCTTAGCCAGCTCCCCCTGCGCTGACCAGCTACACCAACTCTGCCAACTCTTCAGTCCCCTTAGGCAGCTCCCCCTGCGCTGACCAGCTCCACCAACTCTGCCAACTCTTCAGTCCCCTTAGCCAGCTCCCCATGCGCTGACCAGCTCCACCAACTCTGCCAACTCTTCAGTCCCCTTAGCCAGCTCCCCCTGTGCTGCCCAGCTCCTAAGTGTTGTAGTTGCTTTATCTCACACTATACATCCACTATAAGCAACCTCTTTCGTTCCCATAGCTTTAGATACCATTCTGTATACAACTTCACAATTTGTATTTTTTCATTCCATACATAGTACTGTCTGCCTTAGAAACAGGTATGCCCAAAACCCATGCTCCCAAGCTCTTTCCCCCAGGGAACCTCCATGCATCTAGGTTTTTTTTTCTGTTTTTGTTTTTTTTTTACTAGAAATCCTTTCATTTTCCTCATTTCCCACTTTAAGACCATCAGTCTGCCCTGCCAAACTTCACCTGGACTCTGTCCCCTTCTCGATATACCTCGACCATCACCATCACCTCACTTGGACAACCATGTCCCTGCAAAAGCTATACATGTCACGTCCTCAGAGAAGCCTTCCTAGTTCCCACAATTAAAAATCAAGTGTAGGGCTTCCCTGGTGGTGCAGTGGTTGAGAGTCCGCCTGCCGATGCAGGGGACACGGGTTCGTGCCCCGGTCTGGGAAGATCCCACATGCCGCGGAGCGGCTGGGCCCATGAGCCATGGCCACTGAGCCTGCACATCCGGAGCCTGTGCTCCGCAATGGGAGAGGCCGCAACAGTGAGATGCCCGCGTACCGCAAAAAAAAAAAAAAAAAAAATCAAGCGTATGTGTTATGTCTCCTCTTCTGTCTCTCTGAAATTTAACTTTTTCTTCATGGCACATCACAATTTGTATCATATAATTACTGTCTGACGTTCTACCTTCCCTGGTAGACAGACAGTAAGCACTATGAAGGTAGTGGTAATTTATTCACCACTGTATCCTGAGCACCAAGCACAGTGCCGGGCTAGGTGAACAAATGAATGATTTGTGTATTTTTTCTCTCCCAAAGAATTATTTTCTATAAATGATAAAGAGCATTATCTTAGTGGCTTACATCCCATTCAATTTTTTTTTTTTTTTTTTTAACTCTACAAATACGTGACATCTGTTTGGTTTTTTTCTGATTTACAAAATATTTCTTCTCCTAAAAGAAGATGCCTTTTCCTGTTTGAATATGCCTTTTTCCTTTATGAATATTAAGGAGATTACTCAATTGAGCATTAGAGATCACCAGTAAATATTAAAGTACAGGAAAATGTTCAAACCATACATAATATTTATACGTCACTGTTTGTCCAGACACAAATGGTTTTTAACTTCAGCTTACATTACTTGGGACAATACTGCTGTTTCAAACTAGTAGATGTTTTAATAAGAATGGCAAACTGATATATACAAAACAAGAATTTTTTTTAACAACTAGGCTGTTTTATTATATTAAATATTGGTGGTATAAAATGGTAACATCCTCAAGATAAATTATTACACTTAGAAAAAACTGTTTTGTGAACTCTGAAATGAATTCCACGTGGGTGAAAAAAAAGTTTTAAAAGGATTATTTGAAATGTGAAATGCTTCTCAAGGTACGTAATTTACTGGTCTTTGAGTTTAGCTGCCAGTGATCTTTAACAGAACAGACATGAAAAAATGCAAGAAGATAAAGTATTCTAAAGCAAAATCCCTAACTGGAATTTCAACATACAAAATCAGTACAGTAGAAATCATGTGAAATACTGATGTCAAATTGTTTGGGCACTGTTTTTTTGGGTTTTTGATCACTTGTTAGAGAAATACATTATAATTAAAATGTTTTGGTGCCATTTAAATACCGTTACACAAAAACTCTGATTTTTTGACAAGGACAGAATGTAATACCAGAGAAATCTTCTTTGAATTTTGGAAAGCTTCTTCTCTCTAAAGCAACTTTTCTGAATATGTATCATCAAAAAGCGCAATCTACAGTGATTCATAAATAGTAAAAAATAAGCAATCGTCTTCCTTCATTTTGTTAGGTTTTCATAATAAGGTTAAGTTCTCATTCAACAGGCCCTCTTAGTCAAAACCAATTTTTGGTTTCTTTGGTAACATACACAAATAAGTTCATTCCACATCTATCATTTCTATTCCATCACTTTCTTTAACATACACCACTGAACCCAAGGCTTTCTCCGAAAGAGATCCTGTGCCAGTATCTTTGCTCCTTGTAAAGTTTTCTTGGTTTGTGTCTTCTAATCTTATTTTCTTGGTGTTTTGAAATAACTGAGTCACTGGTTCCAATTTGCTTTTCTCAGTGCCTTGCATTAAGTGATCATCCACTTTTGAATCCATACGCATAGCAGATACCTGAGTAGCAGATTTACTAAGAGAAAATCCCATTGGGACAGCTGAATAGAAATAGTTTGCAGGTCCCTCTTTAAGTAGTGGAGACGTTTCTTCAACTTGACTGCTTGGGGAAAAAATTGTTACAAGTGAATACAGCAGGAATTTCAACTAACGTCATGGCAATGTTTGTTTTAATGAAATTTCATGGTGATGATGCCAAAAATATAAAGTAAAATCGCCTTCCACCTCTCAGTGTTTACATTTTCTTTGTGGAAGGGTGTGCAGGTTCTACAGATTCTCCGAAAGTCTTTTTATTAAAAGGAATTTACTAGATGTTACCTTTCATCACCTTGCAGAAAATAATAGAACTTCTCTACTTAGTCCTGCCTATCATTCTTATTATCAAAAACTTTTAATTTATTATTAATGGATTAAAGAAATAATTACTGAAGGCCAAACACTCTGCTAGGTGTTCTGGAAAAAAAAAAAAAGCTGCCCAAACAACTGTAAACATTTACACACGTAATAATACACTATCAAAATAATGAAGGAAAAACTGACAGAAATGAAGGGAGAAATAGACAGTTCTACAATAATAGTTGGAGATTTCAAAACTGAACTGTCAATAATGGAGAGAACAACCAGACAGGACACAAGTAAGGAAATAGAGGATTTAAACAACACAATAAACGGACTAGAGCTAACAAACACATGCAGAACACTCCACCCAACAACAACAGGATACATATTCTTCTCAAGGGGACATTTTCCAGGATAGACCATATGTTAGGCCACAAATTAAGTCTCAGTAGATTTAAAAAGATGGATATCATACAAAGTATGGATATCATACAAAGTATCTTCTCTGACCACAATGGGATGAAGTCAGAAATCAACAACGGAAGTAAAACAGGAAAATTCACATATTTGTGGAAATTAAACAGTATACTCTTAAACAACCCATGGATCAAAGAAATCACAAGGGAAATTTTAAAAAATACTTAGAGATGAAGATAAACAAAAACACAACATATCAAACTTACGGGATGAAGCAAAATCAGTACTAAGGGGGGGAATTTATAGTTATAAATACTTGCATTAAAAAAAACAAGAAAGATCTCAAATCAACAAACTTTACAGCTTAATGAACTAGAAAAAGAAGAAGAAACTAAACCCATTACTAGCAGAAGGAAGGAAACAATAAAGACTAGAGCAGAGATAAATGGAATAGAGAACAGAAAAGCAATAGAGGATAATCAATTAAACCAAAAGTAGTTTTTGAAAAGAGCAACAAAATTGACAAACTACCTCGATGGACTGAGAAAACTCAAATTACTAAATCAGAAATGAAAGGGGACATTACTACTGATTCTACAGAAATAAAAAGTATTATAAGAGAGTGCTATGAACAATTGTATGCCAACAAATTGGATATCCTAGCTGAATGGACAAATTCCTAGAAACGCAAAACCTACCAAGACTAAGTCAATAAGAAACGAAAATCTGAATAGACCTATGACTGCTCAGACCATTCAGTGGGGGAAAGGGCAGCCTTTTCAGCAAAATGTGCTGGGAAAACTGGATATCCACACACAGAAGAATGAAGTTGAACCCTTACCTAATACCATATACAAAAACTAACGCAAGATGGATCAAAGACCTAAATGTAAGATCTAAAGCTCTAACTCTTAAAAGAAAACATAAGGCAAAATCTTCCTGATGGATTTGCAATGATTTGAATACACCACCAAAGGCAGAGGCAACAAAAGAAAAAATAGACAAGTTGGAACTTATGAGAATATATAAATTTTGTGCATTAATAGACACAAGACTATAAAGGCAGAAGGAGAAAGTATTTGCAAACCATATATATGATAAGGGACTAATACCCAGAATATACAGAGAACTGAAACTCAACAACAACAAAATAATCCAATTCAAAATTTGGCAAAGGACTTGAATAGCCATTTCTCCAGAGAAGATATATGAATGGCCAACAATTACATGAAAAAATGCTCACCATCACTAATAATTAGGGAAATTCAGATCACAGCTACCAATTAGATACAGCCTCACAACCATTAGGATAGCTACTATTAAAAAAAAAACAGAAAATAACAAGTGTTGTTGAGGATGTGGAGAAATTCAAACCTTTTTTTAAAAAAATTAATTAATTATTTTTGGCTGCATTGGGTCTTCATTGCTGTGCACGGGCTTTCTCTAGTTGCAGCGAGTGGGGGCTACTCTTCGTTGTGGTGCACGGGCTTCTCATTGTGGTGGCTTCTCCTGTTGCAGAGCACAGGCTCTAGGCACGCAGCCTTCAGTAGTTGTGGCTTGTGGGCTCTAGAGCACAGGCTCAGGAGCTGTGGTGCATGGGCTTAGTTGCTCCACAGCATGTGGGATCTTCCCAGACCAGGGCTCGAAACCGTGTCCCCTGCATTGGCAGGCGGATTCTTAACCACTGCGCCACCAGGGAAGTCCGAAATTCAAACCTTTATGCACTATTGGTAGGAATGTTCAATGGTACAGCTACTGTGGAAAACAGTGTGGCAGTTCCTCAAATAATTAAAAATAGAATTACCATACGATCCAGCAAACCAACTTCTGGGTCTTGAAGACATATTTGTACACCCATGTACAAATAACATAAGCTATTATTCACAATAGCTAAAATGCGGAAGCAACTCAAGTGTCCAACGATGGATCATAGGTAAGCAAAATGTTGTATATAAATATGATGAAATATTCAGCATTAAAAAGGAGGAAATTCTGCAATATGCTACAACGTGATGAACCTTGAACACATTATGCTAAGTGAAATAACTCATAAAGACAAATACTGTATGACTCTACTTACATGAGGTAGCTAAAGTCAAAATCATAGAGACAGAAAGTAGAATGATGGTTGCCATGGGGAGGTGTTGTTTAAGGGGTATAGACTTTCAATTTTACAAGATGAAAAGAGTCCTGGAGATAAATGGTGGTGATGACAGCACAAAATTATGAATATATTTAATACACTGAACTATACACCTAAGAATGGCTAAGATGCTACATTTTATGTTACATGTATTTTACCACAATACAAAAAACTAAAGAAAAAAAAAGATGTCCAATAAAGAAACAGTACCTTTTATTACCAATGCCCAATCTGCTTAGAGAGATGAGCATGCAACATGGAGGGAGGGGCTTGGAAAGGTTGTGAAAGGAGGGGGCCTACGTCAGGGTTGGGCTTTGAAAGATGGTCAGGAATTTGGTAAGCAGAGTTGACCAGGATGGCAGAAGGGACCAGAGCTTGTTACAGAACAGTGATCTACTGAAGAAGCTCTAGCAGCAACTTGAGATCTGGAACCCACTCCACAGCTGTGAATGAAAGCACTTACTCACCTTTTAGAATGTATTTCTTTAATATTTAGGTAATGGAGTTATCTTTTATGAGTTTACAATTCCATCCCCATCAAGCCCTAATCATTTACTGACAGAAGATTTCTAAAGATATCATCTTGAAACCTTGTTTATCCATATTCGTGATTGAGTATCAGTGTTTAATCTGTAACAGAACAGAGTCCAGGGTCTACAGTAGTATCCTAAACATAGTAGTTAATCAAATGTTGTTAGTATAACAAATACCTGTTTCTTAGATTTGGAAATTGAAGATGAATTTTTTTCTCATCAAGTGAATATCCAATACTACCTTCAAATGAGTAAAAGTGAGTTTATTCTGTTATTTGGTTTCTCCTCTTTGATTATTTAAAAAGGAAACACTCCTCTCAAAAATGCATAAGTTGGGGCTTCCCTGGTGGCACAGTGGTTGAGAGTCCGCCTGCCGATGCAGGGGACACGGGCTCATGCCCGGGTCCGGGAAGATCCCACATGCCGCTGAGCGGCTGGGCCCGTGAGCCATGGCCGCTGAGCCTGCGCGTCCGGAGCCTGTGCTCTGCAATGGGAGAGGCCACAACAGTGAGAGGTCCACGTACCGCAAAAAAAAAAAAAAAAAAAAAAAAAAAAA